AGGACTTTGCCCAGAGCCTTGTCTGTTCCAACCCAAACTGAAATGCCAGAGTGTTCCACAGGTCAGGGAGGGCAGTTCATGCAAGCTGGGCCTCTTGAGCAAAATTCTTCCCTGGAGCAGCAGCTCTGGTCCGGTGCTCCGCCTCCCTGCCCGGCTGCCCAGCAGGCTGCAGGGAGTCAGGCCGCCCACGGCTGTGGCCTGTGAGTCTCTGCCTAGATCTCATCCGCCATCAAAGCAGACGGCTTCCAGGTGGGTTCTATTTGACCCCCACCCCCCAAACACTCTTGCCCCTCGGTGACAGAGGTGGCCAAGAGCCCCTTGTTTGATTCTGATAGTGGGAAGGTCATGATACCTTCCTGGTATCATGTTCACCTCTACCCACCGGACCAGTCAAAGACCCAGTGAGAAAGCACCTCATTTACCAACACAGCCAAGCCTGGGCCAGCACCCTTTCTGCAGAGACCCACGGCGGAAGAAGCCTCCAGCCCCGCAAGGAGAAAGTCAGGACTGCAGCCGGTGGTGCTGAGTAGAGCAGAGCCACCTCATGCCCACAGGCCAGTGAGCCCAAGGGTGGGGATGCAAACAGCTTCAGGCAGGCATACTCTGCCCAGGCCCTGCCATCCTTCTACTGCCTTTCCAGGGGTGGGGGGTGGGTGGGCACCCCTAGGAAGGCAACTCCTTCTTGTCCAATGGGGAAACAAGAAGAGCACATGAAAGTGATTTCCCAGCATGCCACAGCAAGTGAGAGGCAGCACCAGGCCCCAAGCCTTCAGCCTCCTGGTCTAGGCTTCTGTTTCCCTAACTACACAGTGCTCCCAAGAAAACAGGCACTACAGCCTGGCTTTTAGCCTGGCTTTAAAACAGGCAATCTCAGTTACCTCAGAGCCAGTGGCCTGATCCCAGCTGGAGTCGATAAATAAGTATCTACAAGATGGCTCATCCCTAGGGACAGAACACGTGGCCCTGGGGTCAGTGTCCATGCAAGCAGCTTCTGGAGGATATAAAACATCCACATCTGATGTTTGACCCTGCAGTGTCAAAAACCTCCCTGGCAGACACGAGTGGCCCACAATCCTAGCTACTCAGGGGGCTGAGATCTGAGGACTGCCGTTCAAAGCCAGCCTGGGCAGGGAAGTCCATGCAACTCTTATCACCAAAAGCTGGAAGTGTGGCTATGGCTCAAATGGTGGAGTGACAGCCTTGAGTAAAAATGCTAAGGGATAGGGCCTAAACCCAGAGTTCAGGCCCCAGGACAGGCACCCAGGCACGCACACACACGCACACACTCCCCACTTCACGTGCACTCAAAGGCCAGACCCAAGAAATCCAACCTCTCTCTCCTTCACAGATGATGTTATTGTCCCAGATGGACAGAAAGAACCTGGGTCTCCATTCTGCCCCTAAGCATAAGTTAGGAAGCTGTTATGGGCCACAGAAGCCACTGAAGGGTTTATTTATTTATGTATTTATTTTTGACCACTCCTGGGGCTTGAACTCAGGGCCTGGGCACTGGCCCTGAGCCCCTCTGTGCTCAAGTCTAGCACTTTACCACTTGAGCCACAGAGCCACTTCTGCCTTTTTCTATGCATGTGGTACTAAGGAATCAAACTCAGGGCTTTATGTATGCTAGGCAAGCACTCTATCACTGAGCCACATTCCCAGTCCCACTGAAGGGTTTAGCAGGGACGGGTTTAGGGGCTGGGTGGTGGGGGGACTGCAGGAAGTGACAAAGGCCCAGAGCCTACAGAAGTCACTAGGAAGTCCATACAGGCACCACAAGGGCCTGGGCCCTACAGCAGGGGAGGAAGGGCTGACAGGTAAGCGCAGATCTGCCTTCAACACCCAGGTACTGTTCCGCCCCAGAGCTGCCTTCAGGCTAAACCAGAGACTCCTACCCATTCTGCACTGCATCATGAAGCAAGGAGCTGCTAACGCTTACAGTCTGCCTTCCAGTCCAGCTCCAATGCCCCCTCCTCTGGGAGGCCTTCCAAGCTCCCAGCTGTGGTTGGCTGCAGCCCCTTTACCTGTCCACCATGCACGTGACTCAAGATGCTCACAAGTTCAATGCACTTATAAGTCACAGAACCTTGGGCAAGTGCCAACTGAGGGAAGGGCTAGTTGCTAAGGGAGAACAGCCAGCAGGGACCAGATAGCAGCAGTGGGCCCTCTTCACTGGGTCCCCCCTACCACCACCACCACCAGAGCAGCCGTAGGGACAGCCTGGTGACCGCAAGCCCCCTGACTTCCCTCCATCCAACATGCCCAATTCCAATCTGTCCAATCCAGAACGAGGCGGCTGGATACAGCATCAAACACAGAGGCATGAGAACAGGAAGGAACCCCTATCAGTGCCTACGTGTGCTCCCAGCTACAGGGCTGGACCCCAGTCTGGCTGCCTGACTGCCACCATCTCTCGCTCCGTAAGGCAGACACTGGAGACAGTGCTTCCCTCGCCAGTGTCCACAGGCTGTGACATGCTTAGCACCGGGCTGAGAAATGGAATGGAGAAGGGCTGTGGATTTATTTGGAGGGTGGCAAAAGTGACATGCACAGCAGATCCGACTCCGGGCCTCACACCCCTGGCTGTTCAAGAGTAAAACCAGCCCAGAACTTCACTCCGGGACCCTGAGGCAGAGGAAGTACAAGGCAGCCCTGCCCCCTTGTCTTCAGGAGGAGACTTCAGCCCTTGTCTCAAGGCCCATGAACCGGCTGCCTCTACCCCCACCTGTCCCCAAGGAAGTGGGGGAGGCTGCCAACATCCTGCAATTCCATTTTCTCCTCTCTAAAAGGTCACCAGCGTGGGCTCCCCCCATTCACTTGCACGGAGGCAAGGGGCATCTGCGCCCAGAAGGACATCACGCTCTGCCAAAGAAGCTGGTTGGTTTGTTTAGAGACAGGGTCTCCCCTGGCTCCGGATGCTCCTGCCTCGGCCTCCGGAGGATGTGTCTGCCTGCAAGCATCATAGCCTGGCATGCACACACGTCTGAGACCCGCTCCTCCTCCCTCGGCTCGGCTCTGGGGCTGGAGGAAGAGGCCATGCTTTTCTGTCCCAACTGGCTGACCTGACCCCAAAGACAGATCCAGAGCTTTCAAAACACATCACAGTCGCAGCCAGATTCCAGAATCCCATAGTTGGGGGTAGGGGTCGGGGGACAGTGAAGGCCTCAGGTGAGTATGCAAACAGTGGATCCCAGAGGCCTAACCTGAGCCTCATTACTGACCAGGAAATCACCCCAATGCCAGGAACAAGACAGAGTCCAGACAGGACTAACCAGCCCTGACAGGAGTTGGTTTGCCTACACAGAGGCCAGGAGAGCCTCGAACCCCGAGACTTCAGATCCTTCGCTCCCACTGTCCCCAGCTGCCATCAGCATGACACGGTGGCCCACGGTGCTGTGGATGGACATGCAGCTCACACACAGCCAGCAGCCGCTAGCCCGGGCTCTGCCTGCCTCCCCTCACCTCGGAGCTCTGACGGAAGACCCTATCTGCTCAGCCCGGCATATCCGGGCGGCTGACACCCAGCAGCTGGCTTTGCAGATGCTCTGAGCTCAGCGTATGGCGCCTTCTGGACTTGGACCTTCAGTTGAGACTTCTTAAGTAACACAGATACAAAATGAGAACACGTCTGTGAAACACCCAGCCAACCGACGGGAAACATGGGGAAACGGGAAGAAGCCATCCCTGCCTCAACTTCACTCCCATGCTCCGCTCTGCAATGCTGGGCCAGCCTGACTTGGAAACTCCACAGGGCTAATGTCGCCTTAGAACAAGGACCACTCATCTGTTTCTGATAACCCCAAGCTGCAAAGCACACAGTTACTAATCCAGGGCGGTGCAGCCACATCCACACAGTGGAATAGTACTCAGCAACAAAAAGGAGCAACAGCTATGGGCAAGAATGCGGATACAGCCAACTCAACATTGATCAAAAAGGGCCGCAGCAGGGATGGAGGCAGAGGACCTGCTTAGCAAGCATGTAGCACTGCGTTCAAATCCCAATACTGGCCCTAAAGAAAAAAATGCAAACAAAAAGGACGGAACTGTATGATTCCGTTTCCTAACAGGCTGCAGAGGTGAAAAGAATCTTTGGGGGGGCGCGGTGGGGAAGAAAACAAATCAGAATAGAGGTGATGGGGGAGGAGGGGCAGACATCTAGTGTCTTGGAAATTGACATCTGGTGGCGTTACATGGCATATCCATGGGTGCTTACATGGGTTTTCCATACCTAAAATTGGTTGAACTTACACTTAAAATCACCATTCATTATACATATGCATATACACCAAACATGATGCACATACATACATGCAATGTATACATTAATTTGTGTGTGTGTGTGTGTGTGTGTGTGTGTAGCAAAGCCCCTTGTTACTCAAACTCTAAGTAACACTTGCCTAATTGGTGTGCGGAATGCTGAGAGTGAAGAACCCATAACTCATAAACTCCTACTTCACCTTCAGGACCCATCTCACATTGACCCCATTGGGTATATCCTCCTCTCTCAATTCTAGCCAAAGGGGCTCATATTGCCCAGCATCCCCTCCTTCATGACTCATCTCTGTTGTGGAAACTGATCCTGGAGGAACTTGTTGCACCAAGCCTCATTCTGTTTGCTCATTAACCTCCCAGTGATTGCTGAACACATACACACACACACACACACACACACACACACACACACACGCACACACACACACAGCCCAAACTACATGCCATCTTAGCAAATGATCCCTTTTGGTAATAAGCTGAGCTGCCCGAGAAGAGCAGGTATCCTATTGAGGGGCAGGTGCTAAAACTGAGCTTGCCCACCCCCACCCCCAGGCTCCTCGACTCCTTTTTGGGTCACTTCGGCCTTACACTGTCCTTGCCCAACCTCGGTGGGTCCACGTGAGTGGCCAGGAGACATTCTATCAGGTGTAATGTTTAAACTCACTGCTCATGGTCTACCCCTCAGCCTGCCAGCTGACCCCCCTGCCCTCTGGCTGCACCTGCAGGGGAGAGGGCCCACAGCCTGCCAGCCCTGTCCCCAGACACCTCAACTTTAGACTCTCCGTACCCCAACCCTGCTGGGCAGGGACTAAAGAGACCACCTGCACTGGTCAAGGTGAGAGAAGTGGGTGTCTGCCCGGGTCTGCAAAGCACAGCCCCCAAGCATTGGTGGGGACAGCCGGCAGTGACTCTCGTGGGGACAGCCGGCAGTGACGCTCGTGGGGACGGCCGGCAGTCACTCTCCTGCCTCTTCTAATGTCTGTACTTGCAAAGTTTCCACACACGAATACTTTGGAAAGATCTGATAGGCCACCAGTTTCTCTTTCGCCCAAGGTGAGGGCTTGGTTGGCGGTGTGGCCCTCGGCCCCTGGTGTGCTGGAGTCCCAAGGAGGGGGGCAAAAGGGGGGAGGGAAGAAGGGATCCGGCTGGACAGGACCCGACCCCCCCCCTTCCGCGCACCCCCAGCGGGCCGCGCCCCACCTGAAGTCCCAGGCCTCCAAGGTGCTGGGGAAGTGTGTGAACACACACACACACACACACACACCCCACACACACGCACAGTTGCATGTTCCCTCCGCCTCCCCGACCCCGGCCGCCGCCCCCCACACACCGGGAGTCCACGCACAAACTTCTCCAAACTCGCGGGGCGGTGACGTCCCCTGGCACGCGCACAGCGACACGCGCACCCGGACACGCGCACCCCACACCCACGTGGGCTGCCCCAGGACCAGGGCTGGGGGCGGTTTCCAGCCCCGGCCCCCCT